CTCTGGTGGACAACTGTGCCTTGAAGCCTTCCTTGATTCACCAACTCAAGACAGGTGTGTTTTGAAGGGCTGGTGCATTGAAGCCTGCCTTGATTGCCAACTCAACACAGGTGTGATAAAAAGGGCTGGTTACACACATTTGAAGCTGGTCTGCATGCTGTGAACACCTCTTCACCAAAATCCATTGATATATATTGGTTGATATAGTTATATATCCTTTTGTTGATTAGCTACTAATTTTCTGTTTGGGTTATTGTTTATTTATTCAGAAAAACTATGGATTATGAAGAGGTGAAAAATATTACAAATCAAACCTCCAGTGACTGTGTCTCTGGCCGGAGAGGCTATAGTGGTCAACTTTCACCATTTTAAGTCAACAGTCAAGAGAAATCTGTAATAGTGTCTGTTGAGGGCAGTGAATAAGTAAACAAAGGGGTGATTTCCAAGACAGCCACCTTAACACCATTTTCTTTACACTATGTCAGAGCCGGGGCTGCAAGGTGGCGCAGTTGGTAGCACGACCAAGAAGGTGAAAAATAATCCTGAGCCTGAACTTTTTTGCTTTTGGGTGAGGGTACAATCTCGCTAATTAGTAAGATTGAGTTATCTGCCTTCCCAAACTCGGACTACAGATTATAGTAATACCAAAGAAGGCCAGTAGGTCGTGGTAGGTACTCCATCTGACTACAACATTGTGCAAATATATTGTTTAGCAACCAATTGGTAAATGGCAAGAAAAGGGCACTGATTAACTTTTTAACAATATGGGCACCATTTGCACTGTTTATTACCTTATTACCAAGGAGGTTATGTTTTAGCTGGTGTTTGTTTGTTAGCGAGAGAACTCAAAGTTTTGAACGGATTTTCACGACATTTTCAGGAAATGTTGATAATGCCACAATGAACAGATGACTAAGTTTTGGTGTATAAAATATTTGAGAGTACAGAAAGACTGTTCATCACTCTGTCAGCTTGTTTCTAAGGATATCAATGTTAACTCAAATGCAAAAGCTATGTTCTGATTCTCCATGAATCTAACAGTGTAGATAAAATGAATGCAGGACTTTAACATTGGCTGGAAATCACAATATGGTGGAAATGAGCTGCTTGGCAGAGGTCTGCGCTCTCCAAGGGCTTTTCTAGTTTTGAAATACAGTACTTTGTCAATGTATTTAATGAAAACACAAATCTTTTGAGCTTTTCAGAAAGACTTTTCTTAAATGCTGATGAAATATCATGTGTATTTATGTAACCAGCATGCTGATTTTGACACAGTTTTGACAAAGCATTTTTATCTTCAGCAACTTTTTGCACAGATTGAATGGCTGAGATATGGTGAACAAGTCATGTTCTGCAATGAACTTGCACACACGTATTTTTAAATCACAAACCCGGTCAGTCATTGATGCTGGTACCTCAGCGGTGGCTGCTGCTCCCGGCAAACGAGGTGTGGGTTTCAGAGCAGACAGTAGCTCTGTGGCCGGTCTGATCTGATAGTACTTTTGCCGCCAGTTGCGTACAGGAGTTTTTTTTTTTTGTTTTGCTTTTTACAGATGGTGCAGAGGCAAGCGCCCGACTCCTTTTTTAAAATTTTTTTTTATTTTTGCACCAGCAACCAAAGGGCTTGCCGTCTCCGCTTAAACCTTTCAATACTGTAGCCTGCTATACCGGTCTGCCGCTTTCACCCTGTTCAACCCTGCAGCCCGGTGCAGCGGCTCCAGTATATGGCGACTTTCTGTTACACTTATTCTGATTGGCAGTGGGAATCCCTGTATGTGAACAAGCATCCAGTCATTAAATACAGTTTCCTAATAATAATAATAATTGCATACAGGGTTCTCGCCAGCATCGTAACAGAGTAACGGCCCGTTATGCTGCTGCCTGAAAAATTACTCTGCAAATTGGGCCGATACGTTGTTTTCGAGGGTACGTAACGGGAAAATATTTCACAACAAGTGCCGCTGCTAACGCTGCTATTCGCTCACGTATTCGCTGCTACCCATTAGCAGCATTCACTAAGACCCCAGCTTCAAGAATCTGTTCTCCAAGCTCCTGATATCAGCGTATAGAACTCCCTGAAACTTGCGTGAAACTCCGGTATGGACTCACCTGCAGCTGGATCTCAACATCTTTCTAAGACCCGGCCCCAGTCTACTTCCCACTGGCGAGTGGTTTTAGTTTGGTTCACAGCAAAAGCTGTGTTCTCCTCATTCCATTGGTAGACAAACTCGATCGTCAATGGGCAATGTGTCCCGGTGAGGACACACACGGAATCTTTCTGCGTGGACTTTGCATGTTCTCCCCGTGCAGTGTGGGTTCTCTCCGGGTTCCCTGGCTTCCTCCCACACAGTCCAAAAACATGTTGAGGTTAATTCGTGGTTCTAAATTATCCGTAGGTGAGTGTGCTTGGTTGTCTGTCTCTAAGTATAGCCCTGTGATAGACTGGTGACCTGTCCCCTGCCTTCGCTATAAGTCGGCTGGGATAGGCTACAGGGCCCCCCCCCCCGCAACCCGAGTCAGGATTAAGTGGTGTACAGATAATGTTTGGATGTGTCAGAGCTTCACCAGTAGAGTGGGCTGACCACTTGTCACAAGGTTGCCAGTTCAATCCCCAGTCCCTCCACGTGCTGAAGTGCCCTTGATCTAGCACCCTGCATGGCAGCGGTAAGTGTGAATGGACCAATGAGACACGCAGTGTGAAGCGCTTTGGAACCTAAGGTTAAAAGCATTATGTATATGTGAACTTTTTACCATTTGCCTATTTACAGAGATCATCCTCTTGCTGTAGTTCTACTTTAATTGGGTCAAATATGGCATGCTAATATTTTTGTAAAGCTGCCAAAAAAACAGTGTTTGTCACAGTCCTTTGAGCTGATCGCAGGTGTTAATCAAATCTATTTCATTTCAGTTTTGGAACCTCTTTATGAATGGTTCTTTTGTATGTTTTTGCAGGGCACTAATAAAACAGGAACAATGGCAGAAAGCTTTTCGATGGAAAACTGCAGGCAACAAGCCAGAGATACTTTAAAAAAACCCAACAAAACATGTAAACCTGCTGGTCAGGATTGGCCTTTCTGTGTGGAGTTTTACATGTTCTCCTCCTGTGGGTTTTCTCCGGCTTCCTCCCACTATCCATTTAAACCTTCTCCTTCACCTTCTGACAGCAGGTCATTGACGGTGAGTCCTTTTTGGTCCTGTGAGTTGTGGACTGGCATTTTCTAACGATATGGGGATCTGGGGAGTTCGAGGACTGATTCAATGCCTTGGGCTTGTTCGCTAAGCCATTGTTGAGAAGTTTTTGTTTTGTGTCAGATGGCATTATTCTGCAGGGGGATGCTGCTGGTGCTGAATACCGCTACCATGGAGGTGTACAACAATGTTTATGGTTTGAGTCAAAGTAGCATCCACATGAATGCCAGCACCAAAGGTGTCCCAGCAGAGATTACATTGTAACAAGATTATATATGTTCTCTTTAACTGAGTGGTTTTAATGTTGTGGCTGATGTATACATACACTAAAGGTGCTTGATCACACGAGATAAGAATGCGGACAATAAACCATCAAAACAAACCTGCAGGTATGTGTTTTGTTTTGTTTTTTAATGCTTTTATTTTACAAGATAAAACATGCTTTAAATTCATACAGTATTTGCCACAGCTGCTTTAAAGTATAGTGAATAGTAGTGATTAAAGTAAGTTTTGTACTGTGTTTAATGTGAATATAAGTACTTTGGGTTAATACCTTAACATGCTGATTTTTTTTCTTGGTGGTTTTATTAGTTTAAATTTGTTGTAAATTAATTGGAGCATGTACCTGTTTCATGGGAAGATTGTGATGTGTGTCTGTTAATGTTTCAGCTGTTGATTCCTAATTAAATCTTTAAGTGATTAAACATATATTGAAGTGTGCACCTGTCTTTTCTGTCCAACCTTAGTATTAAGAACAAAATATTTTATTTGGAATTAAGCTATTGTCTAATTAAACATCTCCAACAAACAACGGTGTAATCCTGTAGGTGATGATTATCAATCACAGTGCAGCACAGCACGCTCTAATCTCCACGCAGGAAACAATCAGAAAAATAAAATAGGCATGAACAAATGAACGTGGATAATATGGCATGCCAAAAACAATCGGATATGAAGCTGTGAAGCATAACTAAATTAAACTATGTCCCTCTGGGTTTACTTTGTTGTCAGGTGTCTGAAAAATGTTGACGTCGACTGAGTGAGCGTTATGAATATCCCTGCTGTTATTGAGGGCCGAGCCACTGCTGCCATTTACACCAGGCCTCGGGGTGTCTTTTGTAGCTTTGTATTTGATCCCAAAGAGACTGCAGATTTTCCTCAGCATCACTTCGACAACCTCCTCCTCCTCCGAGGGCTGGTAAGGAGACAAGAGATTCAGAATCAATAAACGAAAAATCAATCTTGTAGAGATGCTCATGTAAATTCTGAATTGTAGAAAACATTCTTTTCGGCAGCGTGACATACAGACAAAATATTGGACTGCATTTCAGGTATTGCAATTACTGGGAAATACAAACCCCCTCACAGAACCGCTATGAAGCGATTGTGGGGTTCATCTATTGTCCTTGCCTTTGTACCATGGCTCTAAAATAATCACGCTGGGAATAGAGATAGGCTGTTAAAATCCTGACACCCCATTTGGATAACATTCAGCGCTTTAGAAAACCACTAAACAAAAGTTGGGATAAAAGCCACATTGTTTAAATGCAGATGATATTAATTTACACCGAGAAGCCTAATTTGCTGGAATTCCCTGCTGCTTTGGAGACATTCGTTTGTTGGAACATTTTGGCAAATGGTTTTGCTACGCCATTTGATTCTGCCGATTGGTATTCTGCTGTGTTATTGAGAGATGTATTTGGGAGGAATAGCAGCATTCAATCGCACTCTGCAGTTTTTCAGGTCTGTTCAGACAGACAAAAGGTGCATTATCTGTATGTCCTGAAATAAGTTGAATAAAGCATTTCTTGCAGTTGGAACATGAACACACACCGGAGGAGTCCTAAAATGGCGTGCAAGTTCCTGCAGTGGAAAACAATGCATCCATCCATTTTCTACACATTTCCCCTTCATCCTCTGTAGGGTCGCAGGAGGGTAACAACATGCAAACTCCACACAAAACAACCCCAGGCCAAGCTTCGAACCCAGGAGCAGTGAGGCAACAGTTCCAACCACTGCTTCACCACGCCGCCCCCAAACGTTGATTATATATTAACTTAAAGTTGTAAACTACTCTTTTGAAGCCACAAGTTTGAATCTGATTGAAAACTCGAGGACACAACGTACATCCATACAGTAGCAACTTGGCAATTAGAAAGTAGCCATGCCCTAAAACATACCCTGCTTTCTTTTATTTTACACTAAATAGAAACATGATTTACAAAATGACCATGCTGTATTAAAGGAGACACAGGACTATTAATTAATACTATAAACTCATTAGAAAAATATTTACTGAGCTAGTAGATCAAGTGAGGCATGGGCTCCTTTTCTCATAGACTTCTATACAACTTGACTTTTTTTTTATGAGACCGAGGCGTCACCCCCCCTTGTGGCTATTAAAATGAATGCAGATTTAAAGCATTTCTGTATTGACTTCAACTTTTAGATTTGAAGGCAACTTTTAAATACAGAATTAACTCATATCTATTTTTCATTGCAATATTTATTTCCTGGGTATGAGGTCCCACTCTGAATGGAACCATGCGTTAATCATTAAAGAACATATGGCACGTCACAGTGAGAAAGTTATTGGAACTTCATTAATTAAAAATATATTGTGCTACTGTTTCTTTGTCCCTGTTAAAAGCCGAGCAGCAGCATTTTGTATCAGTTGGAGTCGAAGAGACATCTGCTCAAGACCCACATACAGAGTTACAATAGGCAAGCCTAGTTGTGATAAATGCATGTATGACTCTCTCAAAGTCATTGTGAGACAGATGGGGCTTCACTTTGGCCAACGGCCTTAACTGATTCAACATGATTATAAACTGGGCCACTTTCTTTTATGGTCCAGGTCTGACACTCTTATGCATGACTCATGGACACTCTGACGGGTTTGTAGCTACACAGTCTTTCTGTCATAGCAGCATTAAGGTTTCCAGCAACTTGTTCCATAGTAGCCTCAATGTGGGATCAGATCACAGTGGGTAGCCTTTGTTCCCTACACTCATCAGTGAGCTTTGGCCATCTTTGGCTCTGTTGTTGGTTCACTGGCTGTGCTTCTGTGGATCACTTTTGAAGGTACTTACCACTGCATACTGCAAACACCCAACAAGAAATGCTGTGATTCAAATTTCTAGCTTCACATTTTAATTATTACTGCTTCCAAGTGACTTCCAAGTGACTGTTCATGTCCTACCTTATATATCCCATCCTTTACAAGGGATCATATTGACTATTATCAATATTATTTACTGCATTTGTGATTATAACGTTGTGATTGGTCTGTGCATACCTGCAATAGTCACAATTTCTTGCACAGCATGACATGCATTTGAAAAAAAATAAAAAAATAAAACGCTAGATCACTTGATACCTGAGTATCATGTTAGTGTGACCTGCATTCTGCAAACTCGGAAAGTCAAGGGAGCTCAATGACTCCATACATTTAGAGGTTCATACTCAGGTAAACTGAGGTAAGATAACACTTTCTCTGTCTAAAGAATTTAAGATTTAATCTGACAGTGGGCCTCCCAAACAACTGCAGCTGTGCCTGCCACACAATAGAAAGGGAAAAAAAAGAAAGAAAAAGAAACTACAACAACAACAACAAAAAAACAAAAACAACAACAATAAAAAAAAAAACAGGATAAATATTGTTTGAATATGACATCAATAAAGATGTAAGTTTAACTAGAAAAAAAAACATTTAACAAAAATAAATTTTATCAGCATTCTTAAAAAATTGACTATAATAGCTCTTTACAGAAATGCAAGGTGACTGAGCAATTTAACATTTCTGGAAAAAAAGACAGAAAATCAAGAAGTCAGATTAATTGTTCTGTGAAAGTCAAGCTTTTCTGTGTCAAGCTTTTCTGTGTGATAACTATCAGCAGCACCATTGCTTACCTCTGGGCACCAGAGGTGAGCATTTAGAGGCCATAATATGGCAGCTACTCGTTCATTCAGTGACAAATGTGTGAAAGTGGTGGAATAGAATAGAACTTTATTGATCCCTTTTGTAGAAACCTCAGGGAAATTGTTGAACCTCAGGGAAATTGTTGTATTGTGATTGTTGGTACATGCATTTCAAAATACCATTCATCTTTAGAAAGACTCAGCACTTCACTTCTGCCTCTCTCTGAGTTATTATTGATGGATGAACGAATACTGTATAACTGTATACCAACACCAACTGCAGTTGCATTTTATTTACACCTGCAATAAGCTGTGTGGCCCTGTTGTGGCTTTGAATACATTTAACCACTTTCACATGGATTTGTTTGTAGTCAAGCACCAGTACTGGTGTGTGTGATTTACAATCATTTTACAGAAGGTCTGGTGGCTACTTTTTGTAGATGCTGTCTTTTCTTTAGAGCTGCACTCAATAATGACAGTTAAATCTCAATCAGGTGCTTTTTGCAAAAGCAAATGTGTTGGTGAGCTGGTGTTTTAAGTTACAAACACAGCAGAGGAGGAAAAACATTCACCTTTATTTGAAGTTGTCTCCCTGGCTGCTATTTTATCTTCTATTAGACAGTGGATTTGACCTGAGAGATGTTTCAAAGCCCCTCAGAACTGAGTGGATAGTCCACATCCACCCAACCGGTCGAGGCAGATGGCCGTCCCTCCCTGAGCCTGGTTCTGTCTCAACCCCCACGGGGGTTTTCGGTTCCTTCCCACTGTTGCAGACTGCTTGCGGACTGCTGACGCTTATAGGGAATCCAAAATGTTTTGGCTTGTTGGGTGTTTCTGCCTTTGTTAAGCGCTATGAGATGACTTGTTGTTGTAAATATGCGCTATATAAATAAAATTGAATTGAATTGGTACTGCAGTAATGTATGTATTTTCAGATCTCAACAATTAGTGTATTTGTGCATTTGATTGACACAATGGAGGCTTTATGGCTCCTTAAATATCATAAAATTTAGTTCAATGCAAAGCAGCTTTATTGTCGTGAAAGGTTCCACAAAAAGTGTTGTCAAAGTGTCAAATCCTAACACAATATCCTACTGATATGTGTCAATTATATATGTACAACATAGCTTATACAAGAGTGTGTGGAATCATTTGTGTGCTGTGTGCATCACTCGCTGCCCCTTGGATTATGGCATGTTGACACATATTGGGCAGCTAGATGCCCTGTGTCCTTTTGCCAGGAGAATTTCTAGTTTCAAGAGCTCATTAAACTCTTTGCAACCCTACAGGACAGAGCTGAACCTGTCACAGAAAATGCTGCTCATTTCATTAAATGCTATAAATTCTCAAAGGAAGTGTATTTCTGCCTCAACCTGACCTTTATAACAGTAACCACATTCTCTCCTTCTAAGGTAGAAATAAGAGCTGAATGCTTTGAGCAAAACGTCAAGATGACTACGTTAACTTATTTAATTGCATGTCCACATTTTGTCTTGTAAAGTGTATGACTGGGATCTGCTGAGTTTGTTTCCACATGTTCAAAAAACCCAAGAGATCCTTCTCACACACTTTAGGAGACAAAACGTGGACGTGCAGTATTACTCTTAGTGTAAGAGAAGCTGCTTTGATACAATAATGTTAGACATGACATACAAAACATAATCATGTTAAAAACTGTTTAAAATAAGAAGCCAAAAGAAATCAAAATATGCTTTAAAATGTGTTCACAGTAAAACATTGTCAAGTAGGAATTCAAGCCCTGTAGAAATTAAGTAAATGTAACTAAAAAAAAACTCAACTGACTTGATCAAACCTGGTCTTGCAGATACAATTCTTGGGAAATTGCATATTAGTACATAATAATCCCTGTGTAAACACATATAGTTTACTCCCTTTACTGCACAGTAGAAATGTGGTGCAAACAGTTTCAAATATATGTGAACTGTGTTTTGAGAAAGCAATGATTTGCAACAAATCTTACCTTGTGGTATATTTGCTCCTGGTTGAATGCGACGAGGATCACTGAAATGAGGAGATTGAGCACCACAAACGACAAGAACACAATACAGGAGCCAATGAGGAATCCACCGAGCACAGGTGAGTTGTTCAACACCTTGAAAACAACACATCAGTGAGTCATTTTGAGCAAAAACTGACTACAGCAGAAAGGAGGGGATGGAATACAAAAAAAATCTTGATTTACTACATAGACCTTGGTTAGAAAATTCTTCTTGTTACAGCAGAAAATCTCCTCCAAGCAGTGGAACATATCACTCACCTCGTTATAGTTAAAGATGCCGATCTGCAAACTGATGATGGTCAGAAGAGAGTCTGCTAGAGTTTTATAAGATGACATCTCCCAGCCGTAAATCACATTGCACTAGAAAGATTACATGACCCAATGTCATTCGAGGAACCACTTAAATCATTTCTTTTCATCATAACATTCAATTTTGATTAAATGGGCAATTTTGGAGATAATGGATTCAGAGGACTTCATTAGTATTTTATGCACTTCATTCATATATTGGCCCTTAAACCACAGAGAAAATGTACTGGAAAAGCTTAAAGTACAAGAATATAATTTGGGAATATATTAAAAATAGCCTCCCAAATATTACAGTATCTTGAAATTCTGAGATCTTGGTTAAGTGGCAGGATACTCACTGCTACAGAATACGCCACCAACATGATCACAATGATCACAAGAAAACTGGATATGTCGCTCCAGGCTCTCCGCAGGGTAGCCGTGATCATGTTCATCTTGGGGTTCAGTCTGAGCAGGTGCCACATTTTGACCGTGGCGAGCAGGACCAGGAAGGCAATCAGATACTGAAGGAGTGAATCTGCATTGGCCGTCTCATAAAAACTGGCAAACCTACACAGAGAGTAAAAATGGAATTTAAAAAAGGCAAGCGCAATAAAATTTCAGCAAACAACACCATGAAATAGTGTAATGATTACAAAGGCACTGGAAAGACTTGTTTTTTCTGCCTTACGCTGAACTTAAATCGTAAGGTTTAGTACAATATACTCTGTGTTGGTCTCACTGGTCTTTGTGATTTTGGTAGTAGATTATTTCACGGTCCCCGTGTAGGCGCCTCACGATGAAGACAGCCAAAGCACTCCAGCTCAGCAGGATGATAGCCAGCTCCAGAAGGTTCCACTTGTTTTTGAAGTAAGCGCATCGCTGCTGCTTCATTAATTTGCCCTTTTCAGGAAAACAAAAAAAGAGCAAATGGCTGTATATGACACCACATGAGCTTGTCTGTGTGCATGAGCAGTATATTGCAAAGTGTGCATGAAAAGTTGCACAAATAAAACTAAAGATTTGCATCTAATGTCAATTTGTAACAAAAATGTGGATTAAGTCATCCAGTAAACACTAGCTAAATGATCATTTTAGCATTTTAAAAGGTTGTTTTTATATTTAGTCCTCATGTAAACTTTGCTTTTTACCTGTGACTGTCGGTTCATACCTTGTCAAATGTTTGCATCTCTTACTGACGTGCATCAGTGTAATATTATTTATTATGCAACCCCTTGAACTTCAAACAGGCACACACATTTCTTGTATTACATCTTGTCAAGTGCAATTATATAACATATTTATTTAAGTGCACCCATATATATCATCGCAACTATGGCCACAAGAAAGGAGAGCAGGACCTTATTATGTAAGAAATTGCACTTAATGGTGAACACATATGAGCATAAACCAAAAGGAACCTGACAAAACTGGACAAAATATCATCACAGTATAACTGAATGCTCCACATGGAAGAAAATTACAGATAAAATTGATATCAATACATCAACAAATGACCTTTTGTTATGTTACACAAGAATAGAGCTGAACAGGGTTTGATAGCTGCTCTGAGTCAGCTCTAAATTACTGTTGGATCTACAGAAAAATCTGACACTGAAAGTTTGATTAGTTCACCACATGCACAGTAGCTTCATCGACTATTCAAGCTCATTCAATGTTTTAATCTTATTAATCCTCTTGTTCAGCTCCTGTCACAGCGGCGAACAACAAGAGCATGCAACATTTGGTGAATGTGGAAATTAAAAAATAATAAAACAAGCCGTGCTGTGCTTATTATGAGTTTGTGAAGCCCTCAGTAAACACAGAAACATCTGCTACTCTCACTGCATAAAGTCACTTGAAGTCTTGTGTGGATGACAAGAACCAAGCAATTACTTGGCTTTGGACTACATTCTGTCGCAGAATTTACCTGCAGGAACATGTAATAGAGGATGAAAAGCAAATAAATGATCTCAGCAGCCATAACGAAGATGTGCAGACCACCACTGGACTGGTAGAGACGAACACTCTGCAGCTTGCTTTGGAACTGAAATGCTCCTGTAAAGTCAGTAAGAAGAGTTCCTTTTAAAAACATACAGGCCATCATGGTTTCTTTCATCAAACGCATTTAATGCGAAGGTATAAAATGTGAAAAATACAACCTGTGCTATAACCCAGGGCATTAAAAAAGCCACTAACTCCCGAGAGATAATGTTGTTGCTAACGGTGCCAGTATTCAATGCTGACAAATGTCTTGGGGTTTTTTCCAGTTTTCAAGCTGGAGGTGGTAGAGGCCACAGTTTGCATTGTTGCTGTTTGAGTCATTTTTTTCCATTTTCAGTTACTTTTTTATGACGTTTAGGCACCACAAGTGCTTGGTAAAGTTCACAAAAAGGTCATGGTCAAGGCAGGTTTCTTGTGAAATGAAAAGGAACAGTGACGACACCAGAAAAGAACGTTTGACTACAGACTCATTGTGTCTATATAAAGAGTTCATTTACAAAAGCAGATAACTCAATTTTTGTAGATTTTCAGAAAACTTTTTCTTTTTTTTGCTTGAGATAATATCAATCAAACTAAAGTTGAGTGGATTTAACTCAGTAGAAATGGCATGACAAAAATAGATAACTTAAGTTGGACTGACATTGTCTTAGGTAGATGATGGAAAAGTGGATTTTCTGAAGGTTTGTGAAGATGGACTTATCTGTTATTGCAAATGAACTCTTCATCTATTTCTATAAATCTTTACCGTGCATTTTTGAGAAATGACACTGGATATCCAGTGAGTTTACCAATGTGTTATGATAAATTCGCAGTATGTGACAAGTTGGAAGCAAGACCAGGCTCAAATAAACTCAGTCTGCAGTTCTAAAATCTGATGTTATATACAGAATCCTTACCTACAGCTGTGGTCTCCAGTAAGAGTGTGACAATGCAGAAGAGGTTCACATTTGCATTATAAACGGTGAACTCGACAAAGAGGGCCCTTGTGTACATATCCAGCCATTTATTCCTGAACAGATACTCAAGGGTGCTGTAAATGAAGAGCACAGGAATATTTTAACTATAACTTTTACGATCTTTTTTTATTTCAACTGTTACATATATGCTCAAATTAGAAACCTTACACCAGCCTAAATAGATTTTAACAATTATAAATTTTCAATTTTAATACATTAGCTGAGGTTTAATGAATCTGCTTAATCCATCAATGTCAACTGTCACATGACAGAGAATATCTTTATACTCATGTTGATGCATTTATTCCAGTTTGCACATGTACACACCTGCTGGCGTGTTGTAAATCTGGGCCAAGTTCCACTGCAAAGCCTCCTCCCCTGTAGAGCACTGTTTTCCCCCAGAAAGGGTAAGCCCTAAGCTGAGCCTGTGTCTGGTACTTCCAGGGACTAGAGGTGCTGGTAGAGATATTATTGCTCACAAAGGGATTCCAGCCAAGTTCATAGGAGCCAGTGTCCTCCACCTCCCATGAATATGGAGCATGACAGTCTGGTACGAACTTAAGCATGGAGTCTGCAATCTGACAGGAGTTCTTCTGCACTCTCAGCTGACGGAGACGGGTGTTACCCACCAGCTTGGAGTTCCCATCTGTGATGAATCCTTGAGACAGTATTTTATAGACATTATAATTTCTATATTTTCCACATACTTCACATCATGATCAGACTGGCTAAGATGTGGGTGTTCGAACTGAATGCAGACATGGAACCTGACAATTCCAACAAAGGTCATTCAAACAAGATGATGGATCCTCCACAGTGAGAAAAAAGATACGAGCTGCAGATGGCTGAAAGATGCAGACATTATGGCCTGTCTTTTCTGTCTCAAAGTTCAGCTTTTAATATCCCTGCAGTCCCAGCGAAGACTGCAGCTTTAGCGAAAACATGTAAATTACTGCTGCCCTAATATCAGAACAAACTCACTGACATTTATAACAGACTTGACAGCTGCCATGAGGAAATCAGATTATGGAGCCATTCAACCTGCAAGACCGGGACTAAAATTTCTTACATGCGAGAAGGATCCAAATCTGATCCTATGACACTATGACCAATTAAAGGCTGAAATTGAGCTCACTGTTTACAGTGTGTGCTCACAAATAGGTAAAATGCAGTATGTGACATGTGTCAGTTTTTTTTTTTTTTTTTAAATTAGAGCACATTCACTATATCACAGAAGTATTATCAAGAAAAAAGTGGCCATGGTGTGGTATATTTAAATACATACAGGTATGCAGTGAGAATATGGGATCACTAGAATGACTTGACACCAGCTAATTGTTCTGTCTAGAATTAAACTACCTGAAAGACTTTACAAAACTTAACTGAGAGCTGCAAAACAAAGGCAAACTAATAAGATGAAGCAATAAGACACGAGATACTAAAAGCTTTCTGCTCTCCAGCTGTGGAGTTGATTGCCATTTAATTCCACAGCATGAGAGTGATAACTCTTATCTGGACAGCATTCAGGGTTTCAACAGCTTTCACACCAACAGACCTTTGGCACATGATTGTTTTTGGTCTTGGAAAAAAAGTAAAAACAATATCAAAGTGGCTTTGACACAAAGCTGACATAAATCTGCTTAATTAATTTGCATCACAGAACCAGGCAGCTTATTAAACTTTTATGAATAATAAAGGGGAACCAAGAGATTTTGAGAGTTTCCATCTATATAATTAAAAAGTACAGTTCTGACTTTGTAGTGATAGCCGAAAAGCTCCTAGAGGCATGTTTCCAACCACATGGGTATATTGTTTCTGTAAATTAAAACAGATGAGGCATGTACAGATTTCTTACATTCATGAGGCTACAAATTGGCTAAGCTCTACTGTTATTTTTCTTGTTTTTTTCCCTGAAATATCTGATCGAAAGTAGTCTTGCATAGCCAGACCTGTCTCCACAGTGCAGTGCCAGTGCTCCCCTATCATCATGCTGCTATAGGGCAAAATGCTTTGTTTGTTTTCATTTCTATAAATCAATTACAATCAGCCTTTTCAGTGTGAAGCCCAGGACACAGCAATAGTGCCCATGCACAACAGAGTCGGAAATTGTTTTGGTGGAGCATCTGCATGCAGGGAGGCAAGCACTGCCAATAAAACTGTTAATCACAGTTTTACCAAAGTGAAGGGAAGTGCTGCATAAAATAGGTAGCAGAAATAGCAGGCTTATACTTACAATCAACTTCTGGAGTGCACTTGAAACACTGTCCTATCCAGTAGAGTATATTTTTACCATGATTTTTTTTTACCTGGATAAACTCCATAGAGATTCTTGAGCAGAGATTTGTTCGACCAAGTGAGCACAGCCCCGACACTCATGCTGTTTGAGATCCCCTCACTGAAGCTTTTCCGAATGTGCTTGTTCAGGAAGAAAGCATTGGGATCTCTCTGGCCGTATGCCACCAGCAGCAACATCCACATGAACCCCATGTAGACTGAAACACAACACAATCACGTTTTCGCTCTCATAAATATACAAGGCAATAGAAGTGCAACAAATTAATTCAACAGAAAAATGATGTAGAGATTGAGGAATGTGTATTGATCGCCTCACAAGAAGTAACAGGATCAGAATCTTTTTCTTTGAACTTCCCCAGGTAGCAGCGAATGTTCCCACAACTTTGGCTAACATTTCCTATAGGTTCTCTTAAAGTTAAAAAAAACAAAACAAAACCAAAAAAAAACATTTGAAGGTAATGTTCAAAGAATATTATAATTACATTTAGTATTACAAATAATGACCCTGGATTGTTATATGTTAACAAAGATAGGATGTTCGAGGTACAACGTTCTAAAGATGTTTTGGGTATGTTGTTGAGATAAGCGATCACAGAATGTTCCTCTATAAAACATTACCACAATGTTACATGATAACAAAGGAAGGACATTCTCCAAGAAACATTCTGAAAATGTTTTCAGAATATTATTAAAGCTTCAGATTACATTGTTATTTAAAAAAAACATTATTACAATATTATATGATAATAAAGGAGGACATTCTTAAAACCACATTTTGAAAATGTTTTCAGGATGTTACTGATGCCTCAGATTACACTTTTTTTTTTTTTTCTAAAACATTCCTGGTATGTGACCGGTTAACAAAGGTGGAACATTTGCCTTCGGCATTCTGAGGACATTTTGGAGATGTTGTTGTGTTAATGATTATAGAATGTTCTTCTATTAAACATTCTCATGATGTTAAAGGAAAATAACAATCTCAAAGAAACATTCAGAAAATGTTTTAAGGATGTTATAAGGGGCTCAGATTACATTATGTTATTTACAAAACATTCTTACAATGTTGCATGATAACAAAGGAGAAACATTCTTACTGTAACATTTTGAAAATGTTCTCAGGATGTTATTGATGCTCCAGATCACAAAACGTTTTTTACAGAACGTTTATGCAATGTGTTGTGTATAAATATATTATACAATGTGTGAATTATAGTCCTTAAGGCTTAAAAGATTCAGATGAAGAGTCAGATGAGGATACAATTACTCGAGTGTGATGAAGATTGGCTGTAACCAACTGTTTTACGAAATAATTATGCATCATGTGATTTAGCAGTATAAAGAAGGGTCAGAGGGAAAGGAAGGTGGTCTTACTCTGTCTGATGCCAGAGAGAGTTTGACTCAGAACTCTGTAATGCAATATTCAGTGTGTGATTAAATTGATTAACTGAGACCAAGCTGAATTTTGTCTCATCTTTAAAAACGAACACGGAGAAAAGACAGTTTCTCCAACAATTTGGTGACCCCGACGTGATAAAGACCGAGACTACGGACGATTGTGCGATTTCCTCGGACAGACGGTGACAACAGCCGGCTGAAAATAGAGGTAAGCAGACACCTGTTATATCTAAGTTCTGCATTTTGGCTATTTTAAAATCTGTCAACTGAAATCCACAGAAATTGTTAAAGAAAACATTGAATATTGCATCTGATCGTGTTGAATTAAGTGCACGAAGACACCTGGGGAGTGTCTGAACGCCCGGTGAGCGTTTGTGTCTGGGCGCCCGGTGAGCGTCTGAACGCCTGTGGCACGTTCAATAGAGTAGCATTGCAGACACCCAGTGAGTGTCCGGGCGCCCGGTGAGCGTCCGAACGCCTATGGAGCGTTCAAAGAATAATTATTTATATTAATATAAAATAAAGTAAATAAATAAATAATTAAATAATATAAAAATAAAATAAAATAAATAAATTAATAATAATAAGGTATAAATAAGTAATTGTATGTGTAATAATTAAATGTGTGGGTGGTTTTCAGTCCTGGAGAATGATTGACAGTGAGAAGAGCCGTGTATCTTGGAGGTTGAATAGAACCAAAGAGAGAATTCCGACTCTGAATCACTTCCCCAGAACTGCGTGTGAGGTTTGTGGGTGAAACTGTTTCAGTGCTAGAATTAAAATGATCTCAAGGGCATTGGGATAACCCCACGTGAGAAGGCGCACAAATCTTAGATTTGTGTAGAAGCTTCCTTCTCAAATCCTAGAGATTGGACCGAGAGTTATTCTGAGCGACTGAACAGTGGGTTGTAATGGAAGGAGAATTTGATAGAGAATGTGAAGAATATGGCGGGTGTGGTCCGGAGACCAGCCTGTTCCAGTGGCAGATGGCAGTTAAACAAGTTGTGAGTGGCATGGATAAATCAGCACATAAAGATGTTTAGAAAGTAATGGAGAAGTTGGAGAAGAAGTTGGAGAAAGAAGGGAAAGTGAGAGGAGAGGAGAAACAGGATCTGGCTGATATATTAGGAGAGGAGGAAAAAAGAATATTGAGTGTAATAAAAGAAAAAGAACAGCAGCTGGGTCCAGGTTTGTTTGTATGGAGGAAGTTAAAGAAAGAAATAGAGGAACTGAAGCAAGAGAGACAGAGTGCATAATGTTGGTATGGCTGGTGCAGCGCGTCTCACGTTTCAGAGGGCGAGAAAGGAGAAAATAGCTGAAACACAGGAAGGAAAGACACCCCAGGCCTCTGCACCTCCACTGTATGATCCGCCGGGTGTTCAGGCCCCGGTGTTCGAAGTGAGATCAGGAGTGGTGGAAGCCGTGCCTGTTGCACAAGATTTGCAGAAGGCAGTGGAAGAAATGCAAGACAGAACACAGAGGTTAGAGGCAGACATGAGGGAGAGAGAATGGAGGTTAGAAGAAAGTAGGGATAGAAACAGGAGAGACGTGGAGGATAGCATACAGAGACTGAGAGAACTGGTAGTGGAGGGCGAGAGAGCAAAAGAGGAAGAGTTAGGACGCGAGTCAAATGAGAAAGAAGAAACAGATGATGAGGGAGAAAGTGAAGAAGGATCAGTAAGGTCATCAAAAAGCAGCAGGAGTCCGTTTACCCCTCCACAGTGTTTAAGAGAAGGTAGACTAGAGGATTTTGGGAACAGGAAAAAGAGAGAAGAGACAGCATGCCTGAGGAAGAAATAGATTAAGCCTATGATCGGTGGGTGAGAAAGTCTGAGACCGGAGATATCCCTGTGGAAATATCCGGTTCCATGAAAATGTGGCCAGGAGGTAGACCGACCTCCACCTCTGCCGGACCTCCGGGACATGACTATAACTTGTGGTCCGGGTCTGGTGGAGGCATTTTTCCTTTGTTCACCACTCGTAGTAGGGGAACAAAATATCAATCTTTTTCATTCACTGATATGGAAGGTATCTTAGAGAAAATGCCACACCCCTCAGAGGGGGGAGGAAAATGGATGACACAACTCAATTCTGTGACTCAGGGACACATGTTGGCTTTGGGTGACTGAAGAGCTTTATTGGGGCGACAAATTACAGGCTGGCACCTAGAGCAGATAGAAAAAGCGGCCAAAGTAGATACTAATCCTAACTCAACATGTTTCACGTTTTGTGCCACACAAGTGGGCAGAGCCATGAGAGTTAAATATCCAGTCCCTGCTGGGGCCCTACACTCACTGGTTTTAAACAAGGTGCAGGAGAAAATGGTCTGCGATACTTAGAAAGATGCAAAGAGGAATGGGCAGCCGTTACAGGCGCTCATCCGACCTCTGATCAAGTTCAGCTTTCCTTATTCAGAGCAGCAGTGTTTAAAGGAACCCCAGTAGGAGTGAAAGAGGCAATGGAGAGCAATCCTGATGTACCTGGAGGCCCACAGGACCTCTGGGAAAGACATCTGACTCACCACCTCCGCAGAGCTAATGAACAGATTGAAAAAGATCAAGGGGAGCATGCCAAACGAGAAGTTGAGCTGCTTAAACTACAGCTGCAACAGGCCAGACAACAGGCCACTGACAATAAAAAGGGGACGCCGGGTAAGAATATGGTGCAGCAGCCAGAACCGCCGGCTCCTCAGGCCCCGGGAGTATCTCCCGATCTGTACCCCACGCCTCCGTGGGCTACACCATATCCATATCGTCATCCTTACTCGGGCATGGGCAGGGGTGTGCGAGGGGGAATGCGGGGGCGCGGTTTGGGCCGGGGAGGGTCTTATGGGAGAGGAAGAGGTGGAGGACAAGGGGGACCCTTGTTGTGCTATGGCTGTAACCAACCTGGCCACCTGAGAAGGGACTGCCCAATGAATACGTGGATACCATCCCATAATCGACCCAATCCACGCCCACAGCCTCCGCCTCCCGCTCAACAACTTACATCACATTATCAGGCCCCATATGCTTTGATTGAATTTCCCTTCTGGGATAAATAAAGTATTTTTTTCATTCATGCTACGGCAGCACCACCCGGACAGTTCGCCTCACCCAGGTGCGTTTCAGAGGACTGGAGGCGGTGAAGAAGTATACGTGATGTGTGGGGAGGACGAGATCTACTGACAGGGCCCGGAGGGACTTATCAGCAGGGCGAGGGCTGACCCTCTGCTGATGAGTCTGCTGACCATTAATGGTCACGAGCTGCCTCTCCTAGTTGATACTGGTGCCACCTATTCTACATTCAACAATAATACTTAGAAAGAACTGGTGTCTCAAGACTGTGTTGAGGTGGAAGGTTTCTCAGGGACCCCAGTGAAACTGCCCCTCACTAAACCAATAACGACTGTGGTTGCTGGACAGACTTTACATCACCGTTTTGTGTGTTCTCACAGCACACTGGTTAATCGCCTCGAGCGTGATCTATTGACAAAACTAGGGGCAACGATTCTCTGCTCATCGGATGGAGTGGCTGTCACTCTACCAGGGGGATGGAGCAAAAACTGTTCTCTGCTTGGGTGGAAAACACATGGTCAGTGGCTGATGACGACCACGCCGTTTGAAAGAGAAGGACGTGTTACAGCAGACATTTATTGGGGATTATATCAGCCAGAAACCCAGACACATAAGGGTCTCCTGTCATCCTTTACTGAGTGGAAACCCTGGATTACTCTTTTGGCCCCCTACCAACCTCCCGCTGATCTGCTGCATGTCACTCTGTTCAATGACCGAGATGGGGATGAAGTATATTTTGATGAGTT